ATGGTGGAGAGACCCAATTCCTGCAAGTTGTTCTCTGACCTCCATATGTACACTGTGGCACATGTACACCTCCTACCACCCCTCCCAAATACAGAAATTCACAAAATAAATGTAATAAACAAAAAAATACGGTAGAATGATTGAGGAAGACATCGAACATCAACAACACCCACAAGCATATGTGCACACGTAAGCATGTACATATAATACACATACACACTGACAGATGAGGATTTTAGTAGCTTGATCTCTCAGGATACATAATTGTTACATGGATACAGAAATATTAAAAACAAGAGTAATCTGATGTTACAGATATATAAATATGTATATAAAACTTTAACTATATAAAATACTGACTTGGCACTCACTAGGATGTGCCTATAACCTCTTCCTGGCTTCTTCTTCTTTTTTTTTTTTCAAGACAGGTTCTCTGTGTAGCTTTGGTGCCTGTCCTAGATCTCGCTCTGTAGACCAGGCTGGCCTCAAACTCACAGAGATCTGCCTGCCTCTACCTCCGGAGTGCTGGGATTAAAGGCGTGCGCCACCGCCACTCGGCTCCTCCTAGCTTCTTTAAGGGCCCCTTTCTTCAGCTACATCAGTTAGGATTTTCTAAGTTCCCTTGGGAATGTGTATCTGTCTTCTACCCCTAGTCTCTAGGAGCAAAATTACTTTCTCCTTACCTGTTCAGTCTCTAACTGCTAAGATGCACACTTACTTCACCTTCAGAACTGCAACCAACCAGAGGGTTCAGAAACCAGTTCTGGAGTTACAAGCATCAATTAAGAACAGATAAAGCAAACTACAATAGAACTTAGGAGAAAAGATCAGTACACACCACACCAGTCCTTATTTAGAACTTCAGAGTAGAGCTGAAAAACCAGGGTATGGAGCATGGGGATATGGCTCGTGAAAGGCAAGTTCTGGGTTCATTCTGGGACAGACAACCAAACTTTACAGTTCCACAATGCCCTGGACATATGCAGTTAAGCAGATGAGAATGTCGTTTGCTGGCAAAACACTCAGAACTTTCTATTGAGATTCAAGAGGGAAAAAAATCCCTTATGATTTTAGGAAAAGGATGTCATCAATATCATATGTGTATGTTACGATGTTATTCAAAATACTATAAATTTCTCTCAAAGAGGATGTTTTATTAGAAAAAGGAATAGAAGCCGGGCGGTGGTGGCGCACGCCTTTAATCCCAGCACTTGGGAGGCAGAGCCAGGCGGATCTCTGTGAGTTCGAGGCCAGCCTGGACTAC